AAAACAGCTTTTCGTAGCATTCAGTAATTGCCAATCCAATAAGTATCTCCTCAACCTATTTTCTCACCAAACACCGAGTGCAGGAAATAACAGCGGGAAGGGGGGGAAATGCGGGTGCGAAGGGTCAAATGGCTATCTCTGCGTGGCTTCCCACGATAGGTATTGATGCAAGTTTGCTGCCCAGGTATCAATGACTTCAGGGCAAAGCTGCAGCATGAATAGGACAAGCCCTCCCTTCAAGTTTGGTTTGGGGGGCTCCCTTGAGAGCTGCTTACCCAGACGACATGCCGCAAGCATTCACCGTGATGAACATAATTTGGATGGCAGGTAGCCCCATATTGATAGGTAGACATATATGTACGGTACGTAGCAGAGCCTCGGACAAAAAAATATATAGACAGATGAACCATACAAGAGATTCCATCCACAGAAAGTTGACAGCGTAGTGCCCGAGATCTGTAAGGTAAGGCAAGGAAGACAAGGAAAGAAGCAAAAAATATCCCCCCTTATTCCCCCCACCCCCGTGAATCCCCTCCCTCACAAACACTGCGAATAATAGCCATTCTGGTACGCACACTTGTACGGCGCGGCGCAGACGAACGAGCCGGTCCACTGCAGGCCGCCGCACTGGCCCCAGCGGGCGACAGCAGCAGCAGGGGGCAGGGCCAGAATGCGCTGCGAGGCGTGCTCGGCGGCCACGACGATGTAGCTGGACGGGTTGGTGGTGGGGACGCCGGGGAAGATGGAGGCGTCGACGACGAAGAGGTTGTCGGTGCCGTAGACGCGCGCGTTGAGGTCGACGACGGCGGAGCCGCTGGGCAGGCGCCCGTCGTCGGTGCCAATCTTGGCCGTTCCCACCCAGTGGTTGGACCGCCGGTTGGAGTAGGATACCACCATCTGTTTTTAAACGTGGTCAGCTGCTGTTGTTGAAGGAAAAAAGGGGTAAAGGAATGGGGCCAAAACACACGTTGTTGACATAGTCAGCGGCGCTGGTGGTCGCGTTGGGGTATTGCCAGACCAGGCCCTTGACGTTCTTCAGCGCGTTTTGAAGGTTGACGAGACCCTGGATGACCACGGCCTTGTCGTTAGCGTCTTTGAGGTACGGCACGTCCGACACGACAGTGCCAAGGCCCGGGGTGATGGTCATGCGCCCGCGCGAAGTGGCGCCGCGGCCGAGGTACTGGCTCATCGTCATGGCATCTGTAGGGGCGTTAGCTAGTTAACCTACTGTCCAAGCCTGTCACTGAGGAAGAGGGAGAGTGAGATAGACGTACGTCCATTCGGCGTGTCAAAGCTCCCCTCCACCCGAGCAGTCCACTGCAGCTGCCGTACGATCCCGTCTGCTCCCTTGATCTCTTCCCAGAACCTGGCAACGAAATTTAGCTATATCCTCAAAGCTTGATAAATTACCAATAGCAAAACTCACATTGGGCCGATGTTGGGTGCGGCTTGGGTGAGAATTCCAGTGCGGCGATCTGTAAAGAGAGCCAATCGTTAGTCACAATGGCCGATATCTGAGCAGGCAGATACAGCATACTAAGATAGTTGTTCGCGTCCGTGGCGTTCGGGGTTGCCCAAGCGGCGTAAAAGTCATAAAAGGCAACATCTGGGTGCGTGATGACAGTGTCGGTCTGTAACCTCTCAAGTTAGCGCAACAAATCCAAGTGGACCAAGGACACAAAAGACACGCACGTTGACATGGTCGTCCAAGTTGTAGCCCACAGGCAGATTGATCCAAGACTGGTTGCCAATCATGGTCGGGCCGTCGGCAGAGCCCTTGACAATGTCCAGCTGGTCCTTGGGACCGATGCCGCTCCTGACCAGGATTTTGGCACTGCCAAAGGTCCCAGCAGACAAAATCACGCGGCCTGAGATGTTGGTGACGTTCACGACCCCCTGGTATCCGCCGTCCCTGAAAGCCTCAACCTCGAGGCCAGTTATATGGCCACCTTCACGAACGACGCGCTTGACAGTCGTGTTCAGCCACAACTTGAAGTTGCTCCGGCCCTTGGCGCTGACGAGGTACGTTGCCATAGGGCCGCCGCGTTCTCCATGGGAGTACATGTAAGGAGTGTTGGCGAAAGTGCGGTTCTTTTGGTTAGGGGCGTTGTTCGCGACAACTTGGTTCCATCCCGCCGCCTTCAGACCGCCGCTGAGGACGTTGAAGCCTTGCTGCAGATAGCGCTGACCGTCGGTGGACGGAGCGTCTGTGCCCGGAATTCGCGAGAAGACTCTGCTTATCGCTGCTTGGACGTCTTGTGACTTCCACCCGGTCGGGAATAGATAGTCCCAGTCAAGAGAGTACGGCTAGTTAGAGGTTGATTAGCAATGCTCACAACGACTCGCCTCTCTTTATCTAGAAGCTGCTCTTCCTCACCTTGAACCAGAGACCAGCATTAACGGCGGTGCCGCCACCGAGAACACACCCAGCCATCTGGTCAGTATCCGTGCAAGCAATTCCCGCCGAGTCAACCCAGATCTGGTTGCACAGGCCTGGCACATCGAACCGGGAGAGGTTGGTGCCAACAAGCCAGTCGGGCTTCAGGGTGCCGCCCCAGCGGCCGGAAGACGCCGGGCCCTTCTCGATGAGCAACACGCTCTTTCCGGACTCGCTCAGCTTATCGGCTAGGGGAATGCCTCCGGCGCCGCCACCGACGATGATGTAGTCAAAAGTGACACTCGTCGGGACGGGAACAGCGGCGATGGCAGTCGTGGTCGGGCCTTGGCAGGTTCCCGTGACCATCTTTGTCGCCTTCGCAGCCCATGCCGAGTAGGACGGGTTGGCGGCGTTGCTGTCTAGAACCGCGCCGAAGATGCTCATACCATTGTCGTGCTGATCCAGAGTGATCTGGTCGGGGCACGTCGGGTTGCCTGGCGAAGGGAACGCCTGCGCCCACCCGAGGACCATGAACCCGGCGCTGGTGGAAACGCCACCTGTCTGGCCGTTCTGGTTCCATTGCAGACAGTTCTGGCAGCGGAAAACCAACGTGAAGTGCGTGGCGTTGATGGTCGACGAGATCTGGGTCAGCTTGGCGTTTCCGGTGTAGAGGTCTGGCATGGCATATCCGGTCGCGTAGCGAAAGGACGTGTATATGGTATCACCCTTCGGCCAAGCCGTCAAGAGGAGCGAGTTGGTCATGGGGCCTCCGAGAGAGACGCCGCACCAGCCCGTGTTGACCGAGTCCTTGGACGCACATTGCTGATAGCCAGTCAGCACCCTCGAAATCTCACAGCAAGACGAGACCATATGTAGCCTACTAGGTAGCCGATGAACTCGCTGGCGTCGGTCGTGAGGGCATCAGAGGGAAGGGCCACGCCAAAGGTGAAGCCGCCTTGGGTCTGGGAGCCGCCATTGGGGACGGGCCAGGTGTCGAAGATGATGCCTGTGGCCGAGTCTGTGTACTTCACCGCCGTGTTGGCCTGCGAGAATACAAACGGCACGACTAATGGCCCCTGTGTTAGACATGGAGCCTGGATACCCAGAGACGTATGGCTTTGACTTACACGAGGCCGCTACCACAAGGGCGCCAAGGATGCGAGAAGACGATGATCTCATCTTGGCGGACACACAGACAGAACTTCCACCTTGACTTTGCCGGGCGTGCAAAGGAGAAGGAAAAGGAAGACAAGTGGCCGGGAGGTGTGGCAGGATATAGCGTCCGGGGGGGGGACGTATCTCCCCGCGTCAAGTACCAGGGCCACTGCTACGAGCCATCATAGACTTGGCGAGGAACGGGGCTTGGAGTTTCTCGCTACAAACGTCTTCAGGGAAGGAAGACGGAGGCTAGCACGGGGAAGAACGATCTGGTAGGTGGAAACATCGCGGGGGGCGGCAACTCTGTCCGCGGTTGTGGCCCGGATGTAACCGAGTGAGCCATTCGGGGAAATCACTTCGGGCAAGCAAGCATATTCCACTTAGAGACCCCGGCTGGCATTGGGTCCGAGGCGGATGGCGACCTGGAGGACGGAGGCGGCCTACATGCGGGGGGGGGCCGAGACCAGCAGTTCCACATGGGATCGAGTCGAGTATTCAGAGGGGGGATGGCCTCGCTAGCCGAGGTCGTCAAGAAGATGGAGTTGTAAAAGTCGCCATGGCCAGGACGACTGACTGACCGGGCAATGGGAATGGATGTACGAAGTATTGTTTGGAGTAGGTAATAACCCGGTTCGCGTCGGGCAGCGGCAGGTAATCCTCCGCGCGATGCGATGCATGTCGTCGGCCCGCCTGCCGAGCCCTTGCCACAGGTGCATGTCCCGATCACGGTTGGGTAGTGACGAAGATCTTCGTCCAGGTTCCTGGGCCAAGCCTCCCGCCGTGCCGAGACCTTTCCTCAATCGACGCGGCATCCGACATCCGAATGGCGCCCTCCCGCCTGCACATGGCCGAACCAAGCCCGGAAATGGACCTCTTCAGACACTTTGGAATTGGGTCACATGGTTATCATCTCTGCTCAATTGCCAGAGGGTTGAAAATCCTTCAGCTGCGAGAGATAGGACAGGACCGGGTAAAAGAAGATTGCTTTTCCCAAGCTTCGTCATCACGTTCCCTGGATAAGGCACAAAGTATATAAGGTGCTAATCATCCCCAATGATTTTTATAAAAGCTGAAACTAGAGGAAGAAGGAGCCCGAAATGGAAGGAGGGAGGGGAAAATGGAGGGAAGGAAGGAACAAGCCGACTGGATGGACTTCAAGTTCTTCAACAACTTGGGGTTCGGTCATTGACAGAGAAGGGCGCAACTGGCCAAGAGGACAAAAAAGAATCGACTCGGGTCTTGCACCCAAGAAAGGCGGATTGAAACAAAGTGCCAGTTGCAGCTAGCTGACGAAACAAGTCGTGAAGTTGTCACGTCGAGGCGGAGCCTCTGGTGGACTTCGCTGCAAAGCACAACCTAAGAAGTCATTGGCCCCCTTTCGAAATTGTGGGTTGACCATGGCACTGTGGGGTTCCCACTGATAGGTCTTCCTCCAAGGTTTATTTTGTCAATCAATGAACACTGAGGCCCGCTGGCCAAATGGTAAGGCATCTGATTTCGGAACAAGTTCTCAGAAGATTGTGCGTTCGAGCCGCACGTGGGTCGGTAATTCATATTTTTGTCAGCATCCGGTTGCTTTCTCTTTTGCACTTGGCAACCGTGGTTGATTAATTTTTTTATTTCAATTTATCCAATTAAGGAAAAAAGCGGCGCGCCTGAACGAAACAGAAGGCCAGTGGCCAGTGCATAGCCTCAGTGTTTTCTCCCAGGTTTGCTTCTGCTGTTCCGATAGGGGGAAGGAGTCAGTGGATTACGGATTACGGGATCTTCGGTGGCACGGTGACGCGCGATGAGACCTCTCTGCCAATGGATGGATCCCACGGAATCCCTGACCGTGGGCCTGGGACTGGAATCGCGTATCTTCGGCCTCCCGCCCCCTTGGATTCGCTTGACCAAGTGCGCGACAACAAAGATCAATGCGCCCGACACTGCGATTGGTCCCACATTGGAGCATGTTCTCGTATATAGTGGCCTTCCTGGGACTCCTGGTGGTCTTCTACAACCCCATTGCGGAATTCCTGACACCGGGCGTTCCACAAATCCGGCGAATACCACGACCGCGGCTCAACGAAGACCTTTTGGCACTGGAGACGGCCGGCGCCATCAACGGCACAGGACTGCAATGTCCCCCCGATGCCTACTCGATCCATGTCTATTCGAGGGCGCCTCTCGTCATTTACGTCGAGAATTTCCTGTCCGCCGACGAGCGGAGCCATTTGCTAGAAATCAGGTTTGATGCCTCTCCGAAAGAAACATCCCGTTCGTGCAGCGGGATAGTAATGGAACTCTCGGGTTTGACATTTCTCTTGCTTTTTTCCTCTTCAGCGAACCCATCTTTGAGCCGTCCACCGTCACACACGATGACGGGCCCACGACGGAACGTGCGCCGACTGTCCGGGACTCGGAGGTCGCGCTGATCCCGCGCACCGATGCCGTGAGATGCATCGAGGCCCGCTCGCGGGCTCTCCAGGGCTGGCCGGACGAGGTGTGGACCGAGAGGCTACGTGTGCAGCGGTACCGCCCCGGTGGCCACTACAACCACCACTTCGACTGGAATCCATCTCGCGGCGGCTGGGGCAGGGTCAGCAGCTTCATGGCCTGGGTCGGCGACGGCGGCGGCGGTTTGGAGGGCGGCGGGACCGAGTTTCCTCGCTTGAGACTCCCCGTGGACCCTCGATGGTGTGCTTTCGTCGAGTGTCCCGGCCCTGACCCGGCTGCCGACGGATCAGCGGGAACGCAGCAGCAGCAAACCCTCGGAGCGAAGCTGGGGGTTGTCTTCAAGCCCGTGGCCGGCAATGCTGTCTATTGGGAGAACTTCCGGCCTGACGGGACAGGACGGGGCTACGACGAGTCGTGGCATGCTGGACTGCCAGTTGTGAAGGGGGTCAAGGTAGGGCTGAACATTTGGAGCTGGGGAAAGATTGAGTGACAGCCGAGGCACTCTACTTACTTTAAGTTGACGTTTGAGTGACATCCAAGACCAAGTCAATTCTCGGCAGTGCTTAGCGTAACGGCTATGCAGCTTTGTTTACAAAGGGCTCATCATCCACGTGTACGATTTACTGCATACCGCATGCTAGGTACGTAGATGGTAGCCGGGACTCTTAGTTACCTTGCAATCCAATCCCTGAATGTTTGTTAGCGGGGGACTTTCCAAGATGTAAAAGGTTTCAATCCTTGCGGCTCGCCGTCAAGGTTTCTCGCCGAGGGAGCCATCTCTCTCCTAGAAATACCTATCAAAGGCTTTTCCTACCCGGTTTATTTGCTAGAATTTTAATCCTACCCAAGCACCACGCCAACAAACATTCATGGATTGGATTGTACGCAGCACCAAACTGGCGCGGCCATTTCTGGGTACCATAGTCGGATACTAGTAGTGTCACCCAAAGGAGTGCTTTCCCTAATTAAAAACTCCAATTCGTCACTGCCTTTCAAGGTGAGTCTGTCGGCGAGAGAAGGGGTTAGATTGAGGACGCATTTGTAAGGAACGAATGAGTCACCCCGAATGTCGAGATGTCGCGGCTTCCTTTCCCGGTTCTAGGTTGCCCACCCCAGGGAAGCAATGCACTCGTAATCTACGACCTGGTAGAGACGCAGACGTGAGAGTGGCTTCTAATTATCTCCGACGTTCACTTCAATTTTTTTTCTAGCAAGCCACGGTTCTAGGCAACCAAACTCGGCACGTCCAATAGAAGAAGGAAGGGTTGATGTGATGTTATAGTGCAACTTTGAGATGTGTCGAGCGAGTGCTTGGCGAAGGAGCCCGGCTGTATGTTGCAAAGTCCGAGCCCCCCCCCCCTTAACAAAGCCCAGGGCTCGCATTCACGCGCCGCAACCAACCGAACGGGATCGGCCGTGCAGCCGGTAGTTAGCACCTACCTAACCAAGATGGGGGTAGCAGGCGACCTACAAGACTGGGACAGACATAATACCTACGCGTAGGGCACGCCTGAGGTTTGCAATCGCGTCCTCTGCGCACTTGAAGGGAAGGCGTCGTGGAACCCCTTCCATCGGCATCGGACTTGGCAACACCGCGCGCCTAGCAAACCCCCCGCACTCGACCTAGACCTAGATCAAGTTCCACTTAACCCTTTCTCATCTCAATGTCGACTTCCCCCAAAGATGCCCTGGCAAGTGCGTCGGGTCTGGGACCAGATGCCACAATAGCAGCAGTCCTTGATGCTGGTGCTGGTGCTGGTGCTGGTGCTGGTGCTGGTGCTGGTGCAGGCGCAGACCCAGACAGGGCTGCGTCCAGTGAGCCGCTGGCCTGCGTCGCCTGTCGGGCCCGGAAGCTTAAGTGTAAGACAAAGGCACCCTCGCGCCCTTCCTTGAAAGCTGGAACTTCCCTCTCGGCATCCGACCACACCGCTTACCTCATCTCCAGGCGATCGCCAGAAGCCGGTTTGTGCCCGGTGTTCAAGGGCCGACATTGAATGTGTCTATCCAGAGTCACGGAGGAAGCCGGCCTCCAAGCGGCGGAATGTGCGGGAGCTGGAGGAGCGATTGGGTGAGAACGCCGGCCCACCTCCCTCACCTCTTAGGTTCTCCATTACTGTACAGTCTTCTCCTTTACTGACGCAGAGGCTGTACAGCTCAGGTCGAGGGCTTGCTCAAAACCGTTGGGAAGAAACAAACCAAGACGCCTGAAAGTGATCTTGTTAGCCCCGATGACGAATCGCCCGACTCGTTCGAAAGAAAGTCCTCAGACGCCGACTTTGATGAGACGCTTGCAGGCGATTCTCAACCCCCTTCTGCAGCAGCTCCCCGTCCCCCACGCCATGCAAACTCACATCAGAGCACGGAGCTCCTGGAGCTTGGGCAGTCCGAGACTCTCCCTCCCCATGACATGATCGAGGACCTGTAAGTCTGATGGCCCTGCCTGTCTCTCCCACCACACTGTCCTTGTGGCCTTTGTTGACAACAGGAGCAGCCACAACTCCTTTTTCAAGACGGCCTACCCTTGGGTCCCCATTATTCACCAGGCCAAATACTTGCGCGCTTTCCACTCCAGGGTCCCGCAACTGCGTCCGCCTATGTGTCTTCAGTATGCTCTCTGGGCATTAGGCGCGAACCAACACACCAAGTATAACCGGTACCGCGACATATTCTATCAACGCGCCCGCCAGTACTTACAAACTGACGAGCTCAAGGTTGGCCACCTGGACTTCACCCTCGCATGTCGGGCGTGCTGACGACCCAATAGGGAGATGGCGAGTATTTCATTACGGTTGGCCATGCCCAGGCCTGGGCTATAGTCGCCGCGTTTGAATCCCGCCGAATGAACTACACCCGGGCTGCCATGAGCTCTGCCAGATGCGTCAGGCTGGTTGAGATGATGGGACTGCACCGTCTCGATGACTCCGGCTACGAGGAGAGCCCCATGACGCCCATGTTAGTTCCCCCAAAGGACTGGATCGACCTAGAAGAACGCCGGCGTATCTTCTGGGCTACGTACTGTATGGACTGCCACGCAAGCAACAGCGCCGGCTGGCCATGCTTGGTTGACGAAAGCCAGGTAGGTGCACTTCGCTTTGGAAGTCTTGCGCCAGCCTGCTCCCCCAAAGGATTGGCAATTTCTGATTGGCAGTAGATCACGACCAATATGCCCGCCACCGAAGAGGCATTCGCAAACGGGAAGGAGGAAAAAATGCCCAAGCTTGGCGATCTGTCCGCCGGCGGCCAATACTCGGAATTTGGCGCGGCCGTCGTGGTCTGCCATATCAATGTCCAGTTGTTGAAACATATTCACCGCCCACGGCCCCTCGACGAACCAAAGGACATGGAGCACGATCAGTTCTGGAAGAGACACAGGGAGCTAGACAACGTTCTGTCTAGCATCTTTATGTTTGTTCCTGAGCGCTTCCGGTTGCCGAGAGCCATCCGAAACCCCGTGGCGGTGCAGACCAACATAAATCTCCATGCTGCTGTTATCATACTTCACATGGCGGCCTGCGACCGGATTGACCGATTTAACCTGGTAACCACGTTGAAGCAGGTCAGCAAGGCCAGGGCATTGATGGCTGCCCAAGAAATTGTCAACATCATGAAGCTGACCGCCCATATGACGAACCCTGTGAGTAGCTCGCCAGGTCCCGAGCCTGGTGGTTTTCAATACTTACCTTTGATTGTTGCAATAGAAAACCCATCTCGTTGCTATGTCATTGTACTGCGCCGCCGTTATGTACATATACGATAGCAAGGAAGACCCGAGCAGGTGCGAGTACGACAATCTCGAGTTCCTGGTCAGGGCCATAGATGCGATAAGCCGCCAGCCTGGCTTTCCAATGGCGCAAAACTACCTCCACCAGATTATCCTCGATCTCCAGTTAAACGCCCTCGCTGTGCCCCATGGCGTGGTAATGCCACCTGGAAACGACCCTTCCTGCGCTCGAGGTATCCCGATCCTAGTGCGGTCTTCTGTGTCGCTGACTCCAGTGCAACCGCCACTCCCTGGTCTTTTACCACTCGGGAAGCCGGTGGGCAGGGTGCCCTACAACCTGGAGACACGCTGGGACCGAGAGGTGACACTCCTCATAGGCGACGAG